TGGTGTTAGAATTAGAGTTAGAGCTAGTGGTATGGCTAGGGTTAGGGTTTGGGTAGGGTTAGGGCTAGGGTTTGCTATTGGATTCAGGTCAGAGTTAGGGTTAGAGTTAGGGCTAGGGCTAGCTTTAGGGTTATGGTTAGGGCTACTGTTATGATTAGGGTTTAGGTGAGGATTCGGGTTAGGGTCAGGGCTAGGGTTAGGTCAAGGGTTACAATCAGGATTAGGTTTAGGGTTAGGGATAGTATTAGGTGCAGGGTTAGGGTTAGGGTTTGGCTTAGAGTAAGGGTCTGGGTCAGGGTTAGAGTGAGAGTAAGTGTTAGGGTTAATTTTAGGGTAAGGATAAAATGAGAATTAAGTTTAGGGTTAAGACCAGATTTGGAGGAGGGCTAGGGGTCTGGTTAGGGTTAGGGGTTATGGCTAGCGTTAGGATTAGGTTTAGGGTTTGGTTTACCCCTAGGGTTAGGGTTAGGGTTAGTGTTCGGGTTAGGGTGATGGTCAGAGTCAGGGTCACTATCAGGATCTATGTCAGATATCACTATCATGGTGTGGATCACTATCAGGACTGCAGGTAGGGCTAGGACTAAAGCTGGGTTTAGACTTAGTGTCAGTGTTAGGGTTAATTTGTAGAGTTAGGTTTAGGTTTCGGGTTTTGGGTTACGGTTTTGGTTAGGTTTAGGGTTTGGGTTAGGTTAGGGTTTGGGTTCAGGTTAGGGCTGTGATTAGGGTTAGGGTTAGGGTTTGTGGTTGTGTTAGGGTTAGGGTGAGGATTTGGTTAGGTTTATTGTTAGGTTTGGGGCTAGGGTTAGGTGTAGGGTTAAGATTAGCGGTAGGGTAAGGGTTAAGGATAGTATTAGTGTTAGGTTTAGGGTGTGGGTTAGGGTCAGGATTAGGGTTAGGGTTAGGGCTAAGGATAGGGCTATGGTTAGGGTTAGGGTTATGGTTAGGGCTAGGTTTTAGATTTAGGGTTAGGGTTAAAGTTAGGTTTTGGGCTTGAGCTACATTTATGGTATGGTTTAGTTTAGGGTTAGTTTTAGGGTTAGTGTTATGGCTAGAGTTAATTCTAGGGCTATAATTAGGGTTACGATTAGGGTTAGGGTTAGGGTTAGGACTATGGTTAGGGTTTGGGTTAAGGTTAGGGTTAAGGTTAAGGTGAGGCTTAGAGTCAGGGTTAGGGTTTGGGTTAGTTTTAAGGTGAGGCTTAGAGTTAGGGCTATGGTTAGGGTTAAGGCTAGGTTTTTTTGGGGGGGTGACAATTAGGGTTAGGGTTAGCATTCGGGTTAAGATTAGTGTTATGCTTAGGGTTAGGGTTAAGGTCAAGGTCAGGGACAGGACTAGGATTCAGGTTAGTTTTAGGGTTAGGGTAGGGCTAGAGTTAGGGTTAGGGTTAGAACTAGGGTTACTGTTTGGTTTAGGATTAGGTTTAGATTTAGGCTTCCTGCTATGGTTAGGGTTAGGATTAGGGTAGAGTAAGGGTGAGGGCTAGGGCTAGGGTTAGCGTTATTGATAGTGTTTGGTTTCTGGTTAGGGTTAGGGTCAGCCTTAAAGGCAAATTTGCTGTACTACATAAATTGGCCTATAGGTTTGTTAGTGTTAAGTGAATGTAAAACGAAAGGTACATGTTGGGACCTCCATGGGCATTCCATCCGATTACACAGTAGTGCTGAGCTTTCAGTCCTTTAAATCACAAGGGGGGAGCAATATTTCATGCAAAGTGGGTTCTCATCAAATGCCATCTACACTGCTCATCATCATATTTGTGTTCTCATTTGAGTAGAAGATGAAATGAGTGGTGTCTCAGGAAGTGCCATCTCTTTTCAGCACTCAGTTGAAGCATCTTCCTAAGATATCAACTCTGTGGTATGAGTGAGAAAGAATCAGCTACTGGATTCCTTTCTTGCTAGCCAATTGGTGAATGCTAGCATAGGACCATGTGAAGTTTGAATGACCAGAATTTTCTATTTTTCTTTATTTTTCCAAGAAAAATGCATATCCACATTAAGACATGCAAGTACAATCCACGATGTGCTTTGGACAAAACAGTATTGTGAAGGTTGACATGAATGTGAAATGAATGGTCGATTTTCTGTCACCCAGTTCATTTTCCTTGGGGAAAATAGGAAAGAATTGTTTGAACCCTGTGAAATCAGGCTGGAAAGACACTGTTTCAGAACAACTGGCTCTGAGCAAATAACTTTGGCTGTGTTTATAAGTCCAGGAGAATAGACTCATTTCAGAAAAGCTGAAGGGAATGATGTGTTGAAGGGAAATGCTCATACAGAGTGCATTTTCACTTCTTCTCAAGTATTCCTGAAATGTCACATTCAGAAAGTTGGAGCATGAAAGAGCAGCTAACATCATGTTTTCTCTCTGAAAGGTTTCAAAGGATGCATAATACCATGTTACCTTTAAAGTAGAATAGCTGCCATGTACAGATTCCTCCAAAGCACTGTGTCTCGTAGAAAATAAGTAGAAAGCTTAGACATGCGTGTATTGTGCAGTACCTGACTTGGACTAATCAGTTTGTGAATGTCAAAATGAAAAGGAGATGAACGGTCCCCTTCATTTAAGGGAGTGAATATCTCTCTTTTGGAACCATTATGAATTGTTGGAAACTTTCTAAATCACTTGGGAATAAGCAAGTTCCTTATAAAGCCTGTTCTAGGCAAACTCTGTCTGAATTGTTTCCAAAGGTGAGGCAAGGAACTGATTTCAGTAGTACACAAACCTGTGTAACATAGCCTGAGTCCCCATGTTCTTTGGTAGAAGGGCTTCTTGGCTGGAATCCACTTAAGCATGAATACCTGATAGGGAGGGCTGGAGCTTCTTGCCTTGTTAGAGTGGATGAGGGGATAAACCTGGCATCACAAAGAATTGGTTAAAAAAAAAAAAACACCTGTGAAACCTGCTCTGCTAAGAATGTTTTCTTTCATGTGTTAAGGGTCCAAGCAGGAAACCCTAAAGTTTCTGCAAACTTTCTTTCTGACATACACTGACTCAGACTAAGCCCTCAGGTTTCTTTGAAATATTATCTACTGTTTGATCCTTGCCGCCCTGTATTCCTGTGTATTACAACCCAACAAAAGCCCCTGGAGAAGGGGCTCAAGGCTTTTTAACTTGGAGAGAGTGGCCACCTCTAGGTGTTTTTCCTCTGAGAAACTGGCCAGCCCTCCTCCCCAAGTCCATCATGTCCTAGTAGTGTTTATTTTCATCCTTGGAGGACACGGGGTGGGGCTTGCAGGAGAAGTCCACCCCGCAAGTGGCTCCCCTGACAGGGTCTCTACAGATTGGGGACCTTCTTCATCTACCAGAGACTTTGAGCCATAATGCCACGGATGCACACCTAAGAGAGATGCAATTCAATACGTCATGCCCAGAGGGATCAGGGGCTACTCTGGTTAGAGCCCGCAGGTGTATCAGAGATAAGAAGAAAGGTTACTTTTACCACCCCTTGAGCGTTTTTCTTTCCGTTGTACTCCCCCTTCCCTTCGAGTTTGAGGTATTTTATGAGTGTTTCATCGAAGTACTGAAGAAAAAAGGCACTTCCTTCCTCCGACTCAAGATATAGGGTATCTCTACAAGAGTGGGAATCCAGTGGAGGTATCTGGGGTCCAATCTCTAAGACATGAAGGGGCCTCATAGGATATTCCATTTATGTTAATCTTGGGTCTCCGTGAGTCCTTATATGGAGCGCCTATATGGACTGGTCATCCAGTGCTCTGAGCCCTTTCAGCTGTCTAGGCAGCTGGGAAGTGAACCCGAATCCTATAAGCGGGGCTGAGGAGTTCCCGAAATTCGGTGCTTCTTTCCTGATGGTATTTGCACCAACAGGACATCTAGGGCACACTACACTGTGTTCCCTAGCAAGAAATAAGATCTGGAAGTGCGGGAAGAAAGAACGACTGGATTCACCGCTTTTTTGCGGTAAAAGGGACTTTAGAAAAAAAGATTTTCTTTGACTGGGAAAGAGCGCGCACCCAGGGTGGTTTCAAGAGGGATCCAGTCCATCTTCCCTCCTCCGTCCCCCGTGTTCTCCAAGGCACCCCTAGAAGGATTGCGCAGCAGAGTGGTTGCAGTTCTCGGCTCTTTCCTATTTCCCCTGACCTGCACTGAGAGGCGGGGCTAAGCACAGCTGGTGCAGAACGCCCGGGGGCGCGTCAGACACCTGGGAGGCCCAGCACCACCTGGGTGCAGGGAGGATCCTGGTGGGCGCTAGAGCGCAGCGACCCCTGTGCAAGACCCTGCCAGCGGTTGGGCCATTCTGAGGCAGCTGCCTTACAGCCTGGTTTGTGACTGGCAGAGCGAAGCCACGCCCAGGGGCGCGACCTTAATGGCGGCAGCCGAGCAGAACTGGCGCACAGTTTGCTAGCAAGATATTTGGAATGCTGAAACTGGCTTACTATGCACAGCGTCTTAAAGCCTGTGCGTACTAGCTTGGGCTCCTCTGGCCACTAAAACCAGCTGCTGCGTCAGTGGCGCCGCATGAGCATGCACAGGCTGGCAGGAAGCATGGTGGGGGCCAGCTCTCTCTCCCGAGATGGCAGCAGCCTGAGGTGGAGCTTGGTTCCCCCTCCCCTAATTTTCTCTCTGGTTGGCGCTCGGAGGAGAACCCTGTCGGCTCTCTGAGCCGAGTGTCGTCTGGGACACGCAGGTGCAGTTCTCACAGCCAGAGGCGGTGGAGGTGGTAGGGTGTGCGCCAGGCGTGGTGGCGCGGGCTTGTAGTCCCACTTACTGGGTGGACTGAATCGAGAGGTAAAGATATTTGCCAATAGACAAAAAACTGTTTCTAAAAGTTATAAATGTCATTTGTACTCTCCGGGAGCACTGGTGGCAGTAAGGGAAGCTGTATTCAGGTTTGGGAAAGAAGCAAACCCCTAGGCTCTGTAAGCCAAGCCTCCATGTATGTTGGGGATCTGACAGCAAGCCAGGTGGGCGCAACCCACACTTTTCCTCCCCTGGTGAAACCCCTTCTCCCTGCAGGTGGAGGGCGGCTCCGGAGTCATGCCACTGCCAGCACCACTGCCAGCACCTGCGGACTGAACCCGACTCGGGCGCCACCATTTGGGGTAAATGGAGGGTGAACCACATGAGTGCCCCAGGAAGCAGGACCGGTTATTCACAGGCGTGGAAGTCTTGGACTACCCACTGTGCCTGGGCGTCACCATCTTGGCCACCCCAGCGTTCTAGGGGGTTGCCATCCTGGAGGAGCAGGCTTGCATGGGCGTCACCATCTTAGATGACCTGGCGTGGGGGGGCGTCGCCATCTGAGACCACCCTGCGTGCTTGGGTGCCGCCATCTTGGAACTGGGTAAGGGGGTGGGTTGAGGGTTCTCTTCAGATTATGGGCTCTGTGCTGCTGCTGTGTGGGCACAGCATCAGTCATGTTCTCTGTGTAACTGGTTCTGATAGAAATGGCTCCGGTTCTCAAAGTCACCCACTGGGGACCAAGGGTGAGCATCTGATTTATAGGGTGTCTGCAAGGTCTAAGCTTCAGAAAGCTGTGAAGTCCCTGTGAACCTGGGGTCTTGGAGTAAAAGTTACCTGTAGTGCTAGGGGCTTTCTGCTGCCACATACTGAGTTTAAGTAAAGTATACTTCTTCCCGTGTGGGAAAGGAAACAGGATGTGTTAAAAGTGAAGGATGGTTAAATCTGGGTGGGTAAAATTATATATCAAACAGGTGAAAGTTTTAAACCTGGAGTAAAGAAAACCTCAACTACTTGTTTTCTGGTTTTGTAAGAAAAGAGCCAATTTCTCAAGTTGGATTTGTTTCTGATCAGAAACTCTCTAACCAGTTGGGGAGGATGCCCTTGCCACTCTGGACCCAAGAAGGGTCATTTGGGGCTTATGAGTGTTTCAGGCCGAGGCAAAGCAGCATGTCTCTGCCAGGAGACAGGACCCGAAGGAGCATATCTCTGCAGGGCTCCAATTGGTGACTTTGTGCAAGAGAATACCTCTAACTTTCTATTGTTCTGGAACTCCGTGTATTAGATTTTTCTCTCTGTCTGTTTTGAAAAGGAAGCTGAGGATTCCCGGGAAGGTGAATTTTCATTCTTCTTTGGAAAGTGAACAAGGAAAAGAATTTTCCTTCATGCTTTGTCTTCTTCTTCCTACCTGACCCCTCCAGAATTTGGTATTCTGAAGGAGTAAGTGCTGACATAAGATTTCTTTGCATATATTCAATAAGACCAGTCGTTAATAATGGTTTTCTCAACTGAGATTTTGACTGGAATGTCACTCATGAAGGAAGCATGTATGGATTCTGGTCATTACGAGAACTGGGACTGACTTGCAAAACTAGTGAAAGCCCACAAGAGAAGCCTGGTACTTTGGTTGGTTGTGCAGTTTTTGGCAGTCTTTGCAGGAAAGGAGCAAAGGTTGATTTCCTGAAAGATGGGTAAAAAGGGACCTGTAGGCATAATGGAAGTCTCAAGGATTTGAGTGAAACAACTGCTACAGGAGCAGCCAGATGGCAGATGAGTGGTCCTGCTTCTGTGCCCCAAGTGGTGGACTGAGACATCAATGTGAAGGTTCCCTTTGTGAGTTCCAGCAAAGCGGACCTAAAGATCATAGGTGTCTAGGGTGCTCTTGATATATAAATATTTCATCTGGCTTTCTTTCTGTCCACAGCCTTATTTCTGAGTGAATTGCTTAAGATAAAGTCTTGTATAGCAACCTTCCTATATACAAGCATTGTTTCCTTGACTACCTAAGTTCTGACTTTTATGATATAACACAAAACACATGCCAGACCTGTTTTTCTGAAAGTGAGCACTGTTCATTCCCTTGGCTCAGGGTGACTCTGCCAACATCTAATTTGTGTCATGGGAGTATCTTCTTATTTTTATGAGGCACAGTTTGCATGTTTAAAAAATGGATGTTAGAAAATAAACCTCGTTTAATTTTTAGATGGCTTAAATAGATAAGTCATGGCAGGTTTTCCCCTTATGCACTTTCTGCAGAATATGCTGCTGGCCTAACTGTGGTTGTTGTATTTCATAAAATACTTGTCTTTATGCTTATTTACCTGTGACCAGTCTGAGTTTTAAGGAGTACATGAAATGTAACTTTAAAGAAGCTTTTATTGCCATTTTAGGGGTCCTGGTTGGTGTTTTGCAGTGGCCAGGTAAGGCATTCATACAAAGAGCCAAATTTCCAAGGCCCACTCAGATTTTTCATATGATTTTGAATACACTTCATTCTGAAAGCTATATATTATACACCTGCGAATGCAAGCATATTGTGAGACAACTTGGAACACTGTTGAAGGGGGCAGAATAAAATCTGTTTACCTCAGTTTCAGCAGGAGAGTCATGCAATTGTAGGAGTCATTATTTGAAATCTCTTGCCATAGGTCACTTGTGGTATTTTCATAGTGTTTCTTTTTTGCATCTGGTGAAATTTTTTTGAATGGTGACTAGTGGGATGGATCAGGATGAAACACAGGACCATATAAAGAGTGACTTTTGTATCCAGAAGAAAAACCTCATGTTTCTACAGAACATACGTTCAATTGGAGAGCATTAGTTTGTGAGTGAGTAAGGCATGGCAGAATCCTAGATTTGCTCCAAGTCAATCCTAATTTGTGTCTTCTTCTATTTGTTCTCATTTCAGGTGCTGGCTCCACTGTGGTGTCCATCATCAGTATCTTCACCATCAGTGGTTTGCACCATAAAAGGACATGTGACTAGACCCTGTAAAGTCAAGTTCCACGTAGTTACTTGTATAAAACCTGATTAGAACCACTGGAGAGATAGCCCATTTCTTTTCCAGGTTTACCCAAAGCATCCTTGAGTTTATTTGTACACTCATGGAGAATATGTAGAGCTGAAAATGTTCATAGTTTCAAGTCTAAAATTTTGGAAGTGCCCAAAATAGGTGGTCATTTTAATGTCTAAAACTTGCATTTTGTGGTTTTTTAATCTGAAATACTGAAATTAAAGTGGACTTGACTCAAAATGTGTTTGGAATAATAAACGTGGAATGGCATTTTTAAAAAGTAGTAACTTTCATTTATGATACTATGTATGAATAAATTAACTGTGAATAATGTTCTTAAATGCCACTTTAAAACTTGTGACATCATAAATAATTAATAAAGGATTTTCTTGTCCTAGCTGGTGTGGCTCAGTGTAGTGAGCTTTACCCTGTGAACCTGAAGTTCACTGGCACATACCTGGGATGCATGCTGTGTCCCATTTTGGGAGCACTTGAGAAGCAACAGATGAATGATTCTCTCACACATTAATGTTGCTATCCCTTTTTTTCTCTCTCAATTCCCCTCTTTCTAGAAGTAAATAAACACATTTTTTTTAAGAAAAGGCTTTGGTTAATAATTTACTATGCAAATCACTGTGTAAGTTTGGTTGCATCAAGAGGAAACACCTCTAAACACAAGGCATTTGACCATTAATATGAGTTTTTAATTTGTATTTCTCTAATGATTATTGATATTGAGAATATTTTCATATGTCTATTGACCTTTTATGCCCCCTTTGCAGAAGTGTCTATTCATGCTCTTTTCCAATTTTTAAAATTTGATAGTTTCTGTTTTGGTGTTAATTTTCTATATTCTTTATAAATTTTGGATGTCCACCTCCTATCAGATGTAATGGCAAATTCCATTTTCCTAATTCCAACCATGTTGATGTGATTATGGGCCAATTTGCACATTTCACCTTATGGACATGCAACCTCTCAGGAAATAGAGCGTAAAGTGTTAGGGATGACAAAACTTGGTGATATTCCTACCTCTCCCACAGGCATCACATTTTCTGAGAGACTAAATAATTTCTCTTCAATACCTCTGATGATCTTTTGCATATCCACTTGTTCCCATTTTTCTAGTGGATTCTTTGCCAGACAGGATGAGAATAATGTCAAATTGCCATCTGGCTATTAACTGGGTCTACACCCACATGCCATGCAAGGAAGCGACCCCAGGAGACAGACAAAATGTATTAGGTTGGGGATGAAAGCACAGTGGAAGGGAAGATTTATGGAAGGATTCCCCCAAGATGAGGCCCTAATACCTTCTCACGGCTTTACACATGAAGTCACTGTGACAAAGGACTCACACACTTTCTCCACTGTGTATCTGTTTCTTTAAAAAAATAGTTTGGAGACAAAATGTACTAATTGTTATTTAAAAATTTGGCAGAGTTCACCTAATAAGCCATCTGGTCCTGGGATTTTGTTTTTTGGGACTTTTGATTATGGTTTCACTTTCACTGCTGGGAGTTGCTCTGAAGACTTTTTCTGTTTCTTTCTAGCTGAGCCTTTGGGAGCTCTATGTTATTGGCAAAACTCCATTTTATCTAAATCATCAAATGTGTTAGTATGTAATTGTTCATACTGTTTTCTTTTTCATGAATTTTAAAACCTGTGGCATTCTTTGAGAATTTCCTTCTCATTTTCTTATATCTGCTTTTTAAATATTATGCCATTACAGCTGTCCCTTTTTTCTCCCCTATTACTTTTCCTCCCCTATTTTCCTCGCTCTATTGTTCTTCCCCTCCTGTACTCCACCTTCCACCAGCATTTCCCCACCTTAGGTCATGCCCATGGGTTATACATATAAGTTATTTTTTTTAATTTTCTTTTTTTATTTTTTTTTACTTTTTAAATTAATTTTATTTAGTTATTTTTCAAGTACAGTTTTTTGTTTTTTTTTTCCCATCCCAGCCTCCCCCGCCCCTACATATAAATTCTTTGGTTTCTTCATTTCCTATACTATTCTTAAGCTCTCCCTGTCTCTTTCGTACCTACCATTTTTGCTTCTTATTCCCTGTACATTTACTTCCATGCTACTCCCGCTTCCTGCTACTAATACCCTTCCATATGATATTCATTTCTGTGAATGAATTCTTGTTCTAGCTGTTCCCTTAGTTTGCTGTTTTAGTTTTGTTTTGAGGTTCAGTTGTTGAGAGTTGTGAGTTTATCATTTTACTGTACAGATTTTTTTATCATCTTTTTCTTAAATTAGTCACTTTAATATTTGATATAATGAGGGCTTGGTGTTGATGAAGTGCTTTAACTTGATCTTATCTGGGAAGTGCTTTCTCTGCCCTGCCATTCTAAATGACAGCTTTGCTGGGTAGAGTAATCTAGCTTGTAGGTCCTTGACTTTCATGATTTTGAATGCTTCTTTCCAGTCTCTTCTTTACTCTATGAATTTTTAGAGAAATCAGCTAATAGTTCAATGGAAACTCCCTCAGAGGTAACTGCCTCATTTTCTCTTGTTGTTTTTAAGAATCTCTCCTTATCCTTGATCTTGGGTAATGTAATTATGATGTGTTTTGGTTTGTGCTTTCTTGGGTCCAAATTGCTTGGGAGTCTCTAACCTTCATGGTCTTCCTGGAAATCTGTTTCCTGTTCTAGATTACGGAAGTTCTTTTTCATCTCTGTTTTCAGATAAGTGTTCAATTTCTTGCTTTTCCTCTTTCTCTGGCACCCTTATGATTCAGATGTTGAAATGTTGAAAATTCTCCCAGATGTGCCCAAGGCTCTTCTCGTGTTCTTGAATTCTCGTTTCTTTACTGTGTTGTGGTGGAAGGTTTATTTCTCCCTTTTTGTTCCAAATTATTGATTTTTGTCCAGGTTTCCTTCCTGCCACTGTTGGTTCCCTGTACATTTTCATTTATTTTGCTTTGCATAACCTTCATTTCTTCCTCCATTTTATGACCATACTCAACCACTTGTGTGAGCATTCTGATTACTAGTGTTTTGAACTGTGCATCTGATAGGTTAGCTATCTTTTCATCACTTACTTGTACTTTTTCTAGAGATCTGATCTCTTCTTTCATTCAGGTAGTAATTTGTTTTTCTCAGAGCACCAGTTATGTAGTGAGGTGTGAAACCTCTATTCTTTGCCAGGGTAGGGACAACCCACATCTCTTTGTGGTGGGGCTGTATGTTGGGGAGGGGTTTGAGAGGTATCAAAGCTTCTTGCCCAACTCTTGGCTGCTTTCAGTCACTTCTTCTAACACCCACCACAAATTAAACCCTCCCCTTGAGGATTCCTGCTTGGGTGGTTTTGTTCTAGAATTCGTGGGTCACTCCAATGGACCCTCCTGTGTGTCTGGGAATTTCTGCCAACACCTCTGCCCCCACAGGCATTAGCAATGAATGGTTTTGAGGCTTTATTTTCTCACACTAGAACCATAGTTTGCGTGGTCTGTCTCCGTCCTGAGAAGTTCCTGCTGGTTTATCCACACAAAAATGTGAGATCACTAGTTCTACCACCCACTGCTTCACCTGGTCCACCTGCCACTGCCTCTCCTGCCTATTAATGCAGCTAACACCTTGCAAGCCAAAACTTTCCAATGTGTCAGCCCATCTCTGCCCCTTCTCCCTGTGTGGGAGGAGCCAGAGAGGGAAAATGGAGGTGACCTTCTGGGATCTAGTCCACTCTCCAAGGAACATTCCTGTGAGTTTCAGAGTTTCTTCTACCAAGGCAATCCCCAACATACTTCACAGTCAAGTCTGATTCGCAGTATCCTGTTCATCCAGTTCCACCCACACAGTCCATTACTACACCACTTTCTCTAGGCATGCCCTGCCCACGCATTACAACGCAGCAGTATAGGTTCTGTCCTTCTGCCTCTCTTACTGGTAGTCTTGGTCTGATTGACTGAGTCTTTAATTTCTTGATTGTCAGAGCTCCATGCAGTTTGATTTTGTGGCACTTCTGGTTGTTTATTGATTTTAGTTGGGTTGTTATTCTCCTCTTGGTTGTGTGAGGAAGTGAAGGGTTTCTTCCTATGCCTGCATCTCGGATGGAACATGCATGTGGTTCTGAGTTGTTTTCTTAAGGTTTTATTATTTTTTTAATATTGTTGTGAGGGCAAATTGTCCCGCAAGTCTCCCCATCCGCCATGGATGAAAGAAAACTCTACCAAGACATGATCTGCTTGGGGAGCAGAGGTGGCCAGTTTCTCAGAGGATAAAGGCTTTGAGCCCTATCCTTCAGGTGTTGATATTGAGTTGTAATACACAGGAATACAGGGCAGCAAGGGTGAAACAGTAGATAATAGTTCTAAGAAATTTGCGGGCTTAGTCTGAGTCAGTGTCTTTCAGGAAAGGGGGTTTGTAGAAACTTTGAGAGACATACTCATATCCTGCTTGAACCCTTAACATATGAATGAAAGCAATCTTAGCAGGGCAGGTTTCCCAGGATTTTTAGGAATTTTTTTCCTATGCCAGATTCCCCGGGATCTGCTCTAGCAAGGCAAGGAGCTGCACTACTCCCCATCAGGTTTTCAGGCTTAAGCGGATAAGAGCCAGGAAGTGCTTCTCCCAGAGGACATGGGGACTCAGGCTATGTCACATAGCTGAGGGGGGCAAGGGTCTATTACTTGCTCTTTGTTGCAGCCCCCCCAAGTCCTTTCATAATGGCCTCCCAAGTGATCGAGTCTGGCGCAGGTTGCCCATCTCTCTGTGAGGGGTCTTACCCATCATTGACTTCCAACTGTCCTTTGGAGGCAGGGAGAAGAAACTGAAGCTGCGTTCGCTACCAGATCCAAGCCTTGTATCCTGTGGCTTGACATTCCTGAGGTCGTTCACTCATCCTTAGCCGTGGGGGTAGTTACAATTCCTGAAACCAGGCAGAGCTGTTCCCAACTTATTGTAAAGAAAGGAGAAAGACAGGAAGATAAACTTCAATGTGTGCTTGCCCCTCACACACTCCCTAGTGGGGACCTGACCTACAAGGCAGGCAAAATTATTCTTGTAGTTTTGAACCTAGCTGTTGTCAGGGTTCTCATGTCAGCTCAGTGCTTTTTCATAGTCCCTTGTTTTGTTGATACTATGACGATTTATCAGATGTGCATTTGTCACATAAAGACTTGTCTATTCATGTGTCTTTGACTCCAATTCTTTCCCTATAGTGGATTATCTAGCCATCTGAATTGCCCAATTGCCCCTTTTCTAATTCTAAAATGTTTATAATGAGGGCATGAAAACTTAATTTACTGTAAACAAAAAACCATCAATGTCTTTTCTTGAAATTTTAAGTTAGTATATATATTTTTTTATTTTTGCACAGTATCTCCCGATTGGAAATGGATGACATTTTGCCGATCATTTTTTTTTTTTATGTCAGGGGAAGATCAAGCCTCAGTAGCTAAGTGGAAATGTGGAGAGATGTGTTTTAGAGAATTGTCAGTTCTGACCTGAAGGAGCTTCAGCAGCCATTCAAGTCTATAAGCTTCTGTATTCTAGTCTCTATACTAAGGGTGTTTCTTGCACACTCACTGGGAGAAGGCTCTTAAGACAGACTTCTTACAGGGAGATTTGTTGTTCCTCACCTAAAAAATTTCCCTGAAGAAAATAATTGTATGCATTTTTCTACAAGTAAACAAAAATTTATAGCTCAGAA